GCGTCTACGACATCAGCCGCTGGGCTCGGCGGCACCCGGGGGGCAGCCGCCTCATCGGCCACCACGGCGCGGAGGACGCCACGGTAAGGAAGCCAGCGCGGGAGCGCCCGGCCACCGCCGCGGCAGCCCGCCTCCCCTCGCTGACCTTTGGCCCCACGCCCGGGACTCGGCGCGGCGATGGGGCGGCCAGGGTGCGGGGGGCGAGGAGGCCAGCTCGCTGCCCGAAGGGCCCGGATCCCCGGAGCGGGTCTGCCGGGAGGAAGGGGTCCCGGAGGTGGGCGTGTCGTGGAGGGGCGAGCCCGCCCGGGTGAGGGAGGCCCCTCTCGCTCTGAGTCTCCTGTCTCTGTTCTGGGTCCCCCAGACCAGGCCACGCATGCTAGGTGTCCCCAGGGGTTGACCGGAAGGCCGTTCACCGTCACCCCGAGGCTGGGCCCTGCTGGGAGGTCTGTGGCTGTCCCGAGACGGTAAACTGCGCTGAGGGGCAGTGACTCACTCCTCGGCTGGCAGCTGCACGTGGGAGGACTTTGCCAGCGGGCTGGGTGGGCGGCTTCAGGAAGCGCAGTCACCCCAGGAACGGGCTGACCCCTGGGGACCCTGACTTCCCAATCCAGCCCCTGTCTAGACCAGGAGGGATGCGGCCTGACCCCGCAGGACGGTCTGGCTGGAGCCCAGCGGTGGGGCAGCTCGTTAGATGACACACACCCGCCTTGTTCCCTCAGTCCCCTACCTGAAGAATAGGGGCCAGGCCATGATGCTCTGTCCTGACCATTCCCGTGTCTGGTTTGGCCACGCTGAGTATCCAAGCCCCGAGGCGATGAACCCCTAATGGCAGAACTTCAGGCAGCAGAGGAAATTCTGTCCTGTCCCAGGACTGCCAGTGTCCCCACCGCAGGCCACCTGCCCTCTGCCCACCGCCACCTTCATGGGTTGGGCAACCTTCGGCGGACTTTTAGGAAGAAAGCTCCTCTTCCCCGCTTCTACCCAGGAAGCTGAGGAGTTAAAAACCGAGAGAGCGCCGTGTCCGTGAGGGCCAAGGGGCAGGGCGCTGGCCTGAGGGGGTAGCACTGTGGGTTGAAGCCGCCTGCCGGTGGTGATCGTGAGCATGCCAGTGCCTGGGTATGTGGTGGCATGGGTGTAGGTGTCTGCCTTCTGCCAGGGCGTGGCGGGATGAGCACGCAGCCCCTGGCCCTCGGCCTGGTGGAGCCCTGGCCTCCCTTCACGCGTCTTTGGGATGCCAGCTCCAGCATGGGGATGGGGTCAGGCGAGGGGAAGGACTACAGAGAGCTTTTATTCGTCGCTCTTTCCTGCTTGGTGCCAGGCCTGTGTCGGGGGCCCTTCCTTGTGGAATTCCTGGCTTACAATTCAGCTCAGGACCCTGAGACCTCCACCGGACACGGTTCTCACTGACTCATGGCCAGTAAGGTCTGTTGAAAGAAAAAAAATCACTCTGCTCCCTGGGGCTTGGTCCTGGCCCTGCCCTCAGAGGCTCTGAGCAACCTGGAACTGGGCACATCACCCCTCTGAGCCTCAGTTTCCTCATCTGTACACTAGAGAGAGGTGGGCCAAACGGGAGCCAGCTGAGAGCAAGACAGTGAGAGGGACAGTGGCTTAACTCTGTGACTGAGGCTGCCACGGTCGTGCTTTGTCTTTGGTAAATGTTGCTGCCTTGCAAACTGTAAAGTGCAGCGGGATAGCCCCGCGTGGCTACCCCTTTGCTAGGTGACCTTGTCTGGCTATGGCCCTGTCTGTAGTAGGAAGAGGTTGATTTCGATTGTCTCTGAGCTCCCTCAGGGTCCCCCACACTGGGCTGGAGTTGCCAGAAAGGCTGATCCATTGGCCAGAAGGGCTGTGAAGGGGCTTAGGGAGGGGGACCCCGGTCTGTGCCCATGATGGGCCCACAGGGCACTGAACCAGCCCAGTGCCCTGTGCGGTGGAACCCAGACCCCAGGCACCCCATCCCAGGGGACTCAGGTGGGGATGGGCTGTGTTCCGGCAGCCACCTCTCACCAGCCCTGCTTCCCGTCAACTGCTCTAACGTCTGGGCAACAGAAGCCTTCCGGCCAGAATTCCCAGAGTTCCTGAGCCATGAAGTCAGCCTGTGGCCATCCTGGGACACAAAGCCGGATGCCCAGGGGAGAGCGCTCTGGGCCCCAGGCCAGATTTGTCCGAGAGTCATAGGCAGCCAGAGACTGGTGGAGCCAGCCAGGAAGGGGCGAGGCCCAGCCGTTGCTGGTCATAAGAATACAAGGGCCATGCCTTGAGCACCTACTGTGTGCTGGACCCCAAATCCGGAGCTTGATGTACCACTGCTGTCTTAATCCTCAAGACACCGCCATCCAGCAGCTACCATTTGGTGTGATTGTCATGTTACAGATGAGAAAACAGGCTCAGAGATGCAATGTGACTTGAAATTAAATAGTTGGTCCAGGGTCTGAATCCACAGCTGTGTTCTTAAGCACAGTTACGTGGACACCTAGCCTGTTGTTATTCATTCATTCTTTGATGACTGACTCCTTAAATCCATCAATGAGCATCTCCTATGCGTCACGCACTGTTCTAACCTCTGAAGATGTCACCATCAACAGCACATTTGCAGGGAGGGCGTGCCTGGCACAAGGATCAGCGAGAGCAAAGGCTTGGAGGTGGAATCGTGCGTTGCACTGGCTGCAGGAGAGCGCAGTAAGGGAGAGGTGTCAGCCATGAGATCTCGAGGCTCCTGCTGGATGCTTGTGTCTTTGGGAGGATGGTGGCTTTATTCTAAAGAGGTCAGGAGCCACAGAAAGGGCAGAACAGGCTGGGCGCAGTGGCTCTCACCTATAATCTCAGCACTTTGGGAGGCCGAGGTGAGAGGATTGCCTGAATCCATGGGTTCGAGACCAGCCTGGACGACTTGGCAAGACCTCATCTCTACAATAAAGCAAGGAAAATTAGCCAGGCGTGATGGCACATGCCTGTAACTCCAGCTACTTGAAAGACTGAGGCGGAAGAATCACGCACCACCACGCCTGGCTAATATTTTGGTTTACTGTAGAGATGAGGTCTTGCCATGTTGCCTAGGTTAGTCTTGAACCTGCGGGCTCAGGCAATCCTCTCCCTCAACCTCCCGAAGTGCTGGGATTATAGGCATGAGCCACCATGCCCAGCCATAAATCTGACGTACATTTAAAATAATCTTTAGTGGCTTGGTGTGGTGGCTCATGCTTGTAAACCTAGCATTTTGGGAGGTCAAGGTGGGAGGATCACTTGAGACCAGGAGAACATAGACCCCCACCTCCACAAAATAAAAATTAAAAAATTTTTAAAAATTAGCCAGGCATAGTGGCATGTGCCTGGAGTTCTAGTTACTTGGGAGGCTGAGACAGAAGGATTGCCTGAACTCAGTAGGTCGAGCTGCAGTGGATGTGAGCATGCCACTGTACTCCAGCCTGGTCAACAGAGTAAGACTCCAACTCAAAAAAAAAAAAATAGCCAGGTGTGGTGGTGTGCATTTGTATAGTCCCAGCTATTCAGGAGGATGGGACAGGAGGATTGTTTGAGCCTGGTAGGTGGAGGCTACAGTGAGCTGAGACTGTGCCACTGCACTCCAGCCTGGGTGACAGAGCGAGACCCTATCTCAATAAAATAAACAAATAAAATACAGGATCCTTAATGAAGAAAGCAAACCCCGGAAAAGTGTGGGTTTGGAGAAGGAATGATGGAGACCTGCCCTCCCCTAAGGGAGGCCGCTCAGATAAGGGAACCATTCAGCTGGGCCCTGACTAGGGGTGTGGCCAGGGCAGAGGGCTAGCGATGTCGTGGGTACAGGCACACCTGTGGGAGCAGTCAGGAGTTATTTCTGCATGTCTTTAGAGAGGGAGCCAGCCTGGCCTCACTCTGTGACCTGGGACACATTCTTTCCCTTGTGGGTCTCGGTTTCCCCATTATCATGAGGATAAGAATGTTTTCATCTTGGGCATACTGTGAGGATGGTGCTAGGCACCTGGGTGCCTGGTTACTATGGGCAACAAAGCTCCATACCCATGGGGGTGGCAAACACATTGCCCACAGCACCTTGGGAAGGGTGAGGGGTTTCCCAGCTGCCCCTAGTGCCCTTTGGGATGAAGCCCTAATAGCTGTGGGAAGATATAAGTCCAAACAAACCTTCTGAGCCCCCTGCCTTAGAACCCTCCCTTTACATGCCTGTAATCCCAGCACTTTGGGAGGCAGAGGCAAGAGCTCAGGGGTTCGAGATCAGCCCGGGCAACTTGGTGAGACCTTGTCTCTATAATAAATAAAAAATTAGCTGGGCATGGTGGCACATGCCTGTGGTTCTGGATACTTGGAAGGCTAAGGTTGAAGGATCACCTGAGCCCAGCAGGTCGAGGCTACGGTGGCCGTGAGCATGCCTTTGCACTCCAGCCTGGGTGATAGAGACTCTGACTCAAAAAAAAAAAAACCTTCCCCTCCTTTTAGGTGGCCCTCTGGGCCTGACCTGAGCTGGAGGTGGTGGTGACCAGTGCCGCACCAGAGGCTGCATCATAGTAATTGCGGCCAACAGTTATCAACCAGGCACTGTTCTGAAGGTATCTGATTCCATTCTCCTAACAACTTTAGGAGGGGCGACCTATTGTTAGCCTATTTGCAGATGAGGAGACTGAGGCTGAAAATGGATGATGTGATGGGACCCTTGAAGGGCTTGGAGGGTGGGGCTTGTGTCTGGGTGGTAGCTGTGGAGGGGCAGGACAGGGACAGATCCCAGACAGAGTGAGCGTGGGGCAGCTCCAACCATGTGTCCCCAGAACCCATGCTCTGCTCCCACCACCACATGTCTGCCTCGAAAGTCTTGTATCTTAATGGCCACTCCCATGAAGTGTGACCACTCGGGACCCCTGTGGGCATTGTCTGCCCTGCCCCTACCCACCCAGGCCTATTCCTCAGAGGGGCTGCAGTGCCCTGTCCCCTCCCTAGGAGAGGAGTTAGGATTGACTGGCACCTGCAGGAACGTAGCGCCACGGTCAGGCAGCCCTCCACATTTCTTCCTCAGGGTGTCAGGGCTGCTGCGAGTGTCTGATAAAATGGTCAGTTCCAGAAGTCAGAGGTGGAG